GAAGAGTATCTGCTATTTTTACACTTTAATTACAACCAATTCTATCATCATTTGGCTCACTGTTTGCAGTCTTTTTAAAAATGTGCACAATGGCAGCATCGGAAGCTACCTTCCTCTCCAGAGCAAAACTGGCAAAACAAAAGGAAAGGGAATAAATTAGAAGATTATAAGTATTCAAACAATTATGACTTTCACGGCCATTTTAAAACACTTACGTACTAATGATTTGATTTTCTATTTTTAAGAAGCTATACATCAGGAAGCCAGAAAAAATTGCATCTCCTAGCATTTCTCTGTAGGAAATGGGTTCTTCATCTCCCTTTAGAGAGTATGCATCAGTATAGCATACCTCTTAACTACTCCCACACTGAGAAGGCTTGGATCATACAAGAATTTCCACCATTTAAGGTTCACATACCCATCATAATGGTGCACGATGAATATAGCAAAAGAAGCCATTATTGACAGACAGATCTACAGATTTACTGTCACTGAGAAAAAGTTATCATTCAAATTAAAATGTGGTCTTGGAAGTCTGTTCACAAACTAAACCAAGTTAGCAAGGGGAGTTCAAAACTTCTTCAGTTGAGTATGTCATGGTATTCATTCTTACCTGTAAGCACCACCAAAATAAGAAAACCTAAGTATTTGTCCAGAATTACCAGCAATACCTCACTATGAAATTCTACTCTTCTTGAACAAACCTCAAACATTACTGCAATTCAAACCACTGAAAAAAAATCTTTAAAATCTAGTTCTCTTTCATATTTTTGCATAGTTTGGCATTTTCTGGGGTTGTACTTTTGTTTTCATTTGCTTTTCACACGAACTCATCCATCACATATCCAAATGCCTTTATTCTAAGTCTTCAGGTGAGAAATTGAGTCCAATTTAGCAGCAAGCTGTCCAATGTTATGTGACCTTCTGATTCAAGGAAAGTTATTCAGTTTTATCTGTGCTTTCAGATTTTTCCCTTTGTATCATGCAGCGACGAACTATGCTATCAAAACTTCCTAGGTAAAACAAACCAACGATGCGAAAAATGCCCATGCAAACCATCTGCAAGTACAAAGAGAAAGACAGCTTTCAGTTTATTCAACATGCCCTTTGTAATAACTTGTATATAATACAGTGCTGTTACAGGCAAGCAAGCAATACAAATGGAAAAAAAAAATTAACATAAACGTTTACTGAAGACTCACGACATCATCATCATTGTACATAATGGTTGGAGAGTAAGTAGCAAAAACAGCTTAAAACCATCCAAGTGCTAATCTTAGCTGTGGTACCAACTTGTGGCTTTGAGGGGTAGGGAAGTATTTCCCTGTGCTACATATTCTTTATATATAAATAGCTATTATTCTGACAAGGTAGAAGAAAATGTTTAAAAGTACTCTGAAAATACAGACTATTCTCTCCTAGTAAATAAATAGTTAAAGAAAAATCACAGCCTCTCTATATCTTACCTGCTGAAGCCCTTCAGTAATGGAAGTTACTGGTGACATTCCACTGGTCAGTATTGACAGCATGTAACCATCTGAACCAATGTAACTGTTAAAATTCCCTTGCTGGGTGGGAGGGGAAAAAAATAAATTCAGGAAGTTATGCACTATGCCAAGTTATGCTTTAAGAAAAAGTGTTATCAATACAAAACAGGCTTATTTTATTTTGTTCTTGCTGAGACTGCACTGTGCTATACTGTAGCACAACAAAAGGATTATTATAGAAAAAGTTCTCAAATCCAGTGAACTAATCAATTAATCTAAAGAGAAACGTCTGCTCAAGTGCACACAGATTTGTTCAAAACAAAACTCAATGAAGGTAGGAGAATCCAATGCTGTCTTGGAAGCAAAGCAAGTTTACGTGTAGGAAAGAAATCCTCAGAATCACAATTATTCAAGTTGTTTTTCTCTGCTTGTAAACATACTTTAGAAAGATAGCACTGGAATTCTCTAACTTTGCCAGATTATTTAAGACTAAAATATATACCTGGTGGTTTTTGGAAGGCATAGTGTAGGCAGGGGGAGGGGGAAATGGAGGTAAAACCTCCTGGGAACACAGGTTGTCCAGAAAGTGTGGCAAGAGACAGTTTGGGTGCGGCATCAAGAAGTATAGAAGTTCTTGATGTGCAAGTTTTGGGCACATGCAGTAGCATAACTAGAGGTGGGCAAACGGGGCATAAAAAGAAAAACAAAGAAGAACACAAGATCCCAAAGTGCATAGGCCATCTCAGGGAAGTCTGAAAAAAGATCTAAGGATAAGTTACCAAAGGCAAGGCTACCTTTTAAAATGCGCACCAGTAAAACAGACTTATGTCCCCCATCCCTTCCCAGCTCTAGGGCATAGCCTTTAAGTGGTATTACAGTAGCTATTACAACGTCAAACTGAGCACGTAGAACACAGCTAGAAGATTCAGGCTTTTCAAATGTGTGTCCACCCTATCTATAAATACTGGATGCAATCTGATTATATGAATGACACATTGAGAACGGTGTTATTTCATTTGCATGAAAAAAAAATGTCCCATCCAACAGAATAGTAAGATTGGGTCAGACAGCATTACTAAAGAGAGAACTGTAACGGAATGATTAAGATTCCTCTTTATACAAAAAAAATGGAAACTGGTTAATGGAACATTCTATCTTTTTTACTGAAGTTTTTCTGGATAACTCTCATGCATAACCGTTTAAATGTGACAGAGTGCAAATATTTTCCCCTCCACCCTAAAAAAAGATAGCTGTTTAATTTTTCTGGCCACAGGATTCACACTTATCCGAAAGTTTAGCAAAATCATAAAGTATGTTGGCAAACACTTACAAAAACCCACAGTTAAAACACCATCTCTAGGTTTACATATCAAGCTTTAAGATAGAGCAGAATGGCTTATATCTAGTATTAGAAAATAATTACTCTTGGGATTGAAGTTCCCAGACCTTATGAATATATTAATTTCATATTTGTTTAAGTGGCTGCAAGCAAACATAAAGAAGCATTTTCATGACACCTTTGCCAGTAATTGCTGTTTGACACCGTCCCCAGTGATGCCCATTTTTTTCTTTAAATATGAAGATGGCACAAGGTGTCCCAGGGACTGAAGAGATTCTGGAAAAGCTGATGGCTACTATGCCAGTATTTTTTGTATTACCATTCACAAAACAGGCACTCAAGTTTTCAAAACAAGCTAAAATACCTTGTCTTAAGAGTCAGATGAAAAGTCATTGAACTAAAATAGATAAATGAATGATTCAAGAAACTCTTCATGGGATGGATTAGGCCAATTTCCTTTTACTATGTTTGATGCATGACAAGACATCAGGATTTCCGTTTTTAGAACACGTCATAATTTAGGTCAGAACCTTTTTCTAACATGACACAGCTGTATAATTTAAGTGCTATTTTATGAGTAGGAACTCCAGGTACACACTAGCTCCAGGGGATTAAGTGAAAGATTGTTTCTGGAGTATTTATTGTTTAATGGGAAAAATATATATTCACATTCCTAGAAAAATAAAAAAGTAAAATGCCATGTAGATTATATTTATATTTAGTTGTCCCATTAAACCTTTCTACAGGCTTTTCATGGACCCCCTTCATATTCCATTCCCCTCCCAAAGATTTTAATTAATTAATTTACTTACTATGGCATCTTTGACAATAATTCTGGCCACCTGTTCTGCTTGGCACACAGATGACGTTTCCGAAATTAGTTTGGTCTCTAGAGGCTGTAGTAGAAAATAAGTATTATTTATACTGACAGCACACAGGAAGCAAAAATACTGAAGTTACCATTATTCGTTGTGACATGAAATTTGCCTGCTGAAGGCTTAAGTGAATTAATATAAGCCATCTCTACTGCCCCATAAAACGACATTACAAATTGCAGCAGCTGATGTTCTATTTGAATGCCTTAAGGAATATATAAACTTCAAGTCTCTTATTTAGATCAGAGGCGCTCCATCCCTGGTCTGTGGTGGTACCTCTATCCTGCAGCCAAATTTCCAGACCCAGGGGAAGCCCTGGGCCCTGCATGCTGGATTGAATGCCCAATCCCAGCTTGCAGGGTTTGTGCCAGACCTTCAGGGGCCCAGTCCCAGCACGTGGGACCAGGCAGAGGGCAGTGCTGGGCTACATCCAGCCAGCAGACTGACCTCAAGTCACTCATCTGGCCCACGGGGCCAAAAGGCTGAGCCCCCATGATTTATATAATTTTTGATCCAACAGATCTGTTGCAAACAAACAACTGGAAGTTGCTGTTGTGCATTTCTGAAATTTAAATCTCAGTCCAAATGGATCCTGGCACTCAGTAAACCAAGCATTGTCAATCCACAGCCTGCAGGCAGAATCTGGCCAGTGAAGAGATTGGATACAACTTGTGACAGGCTGGGAAATCAACAGCTTGCTGCAGCCCCATGTCTGACTGATTGTCAGAGTCTATTTCCTCCATAGCATCTGCTGACTGCCCAGCCCTTCCTTTCTGGTTCCTACAGTGCTTCAAAATTTTCAGCCTTTCTATGGCTGAGGGTGGGGAAGAGGGCAGAGATCTGTAGCCACGGTAGGTGGCCAGGTTGCAAGGAGTGGCCTATGACTGCCTGGTAAACATTTATCTAGAAATAAGAAACATTATTCAGTATTTGTTTTTCCCTGCATAAATTTAAAATATGCATATATGGTAAGCTTCATAAATGCATGGATGCAGTGTATCTTTCAGTTTAAGAAAAAAATAGTAGCACCAAATGTAGGGGGAAATCCTATTCTACCTATTAGATGCCAAAGTGGACCTAGATGCCTAACCATGACACTGTAACACCCTGTGCTTAAGCCTGTGTAAAAAAATTAAGCAGCTATCATCTTAAGCTTAAAACTGAAGTCACAACCTCTCTCTGTCCTCCCCACTGCCCCACCAAAAAGCAAAACAAGATAAAACAAACATACAAACAAAAAAAACTGAGTAGGAGGACAACCCATCCAACTTTTACATAAATTGTTCTTTCAGGGACTTGAGCAGGGAATGGGGGATATGATCCCACATAGTCAAAGCCCGCTTAGGCACCTAATAGATGGAATACAATCTGTCTCTTATTTTCGAGGCTATTTGATTACAAGTCCACATGTTTGGCCAGCTGATGAAAAACCTTCATTAGGAAAATAAATGAAGTACAAATACACTGGAAAATTAAAATCAAGATTTTCTGTTTGCTGATATAGATCACTAATACTGATTATTATTTTTTAATAATGTGGCTTTATCTATATATTATCTGTATCAAGCCACACTATTAAAATTTGATATATAATTAATTATATATAATTAATGATGTATAATTATGATACAATATCAGACAAAATATATTATAATACAATATAATAATATACAAGTAATAATTAATAGATATAGATAGATAGATAGATAGATAGATAGATATGTCCATGTCAATTAATTATAGATTCTCTCTCTCCCCCCACCGCCACTGCAGAGACTGTTGTCTTTAACTCACAACTTTCAGAAACACTCAGTTCTACCTCCCTCTCAATCCAAGACTAGAAAAATCGGCCTTTCCACACCTATTTGCAGCCTTCAACCATTTTCACTAAATCCTGCCAAAATATGCTCTCTTCTTCTTACCCAGAGGTGTAGAAAGGGGCTGTGGTCAAATACCATAAAAGCCAAAATAGCTTTAGTCTGATATTAAGCACAAGGTAAGTGTTTTAGACAGTTGTGAGCGTCTAACATTATGGAAAAGTTTTATTATGAAAATAGTTCTAATACTTCATTATCATGTTTAATCAGTTTGAACATGCATCCCAAGGTTTGAACATCAAACTCACATTCATAGAGCATCTAGCATGCTAGGCCTCCATCACAGCTATGGTGTGAGAACTGTCATCTAAATAATACTTTTAATTATTAAACATGAAATGGTGGGGGATTCTAACTATTCCCTTCAACTTTAAGATATCCAGGACCACTCACACTTTGTCTTTATTATACCGAACAATAACCAAAGAACTGTGATGCTCACTCTACAACCCCAAGCAGAATGTAAGCAAAGATTATATAGCATACTGACCTAATTTTGAAGGGAAGAAGCCACATGAGAATTTTTAAGATTTGCTTAAATAAAACCAATTCTTAATTGTTTAGATTTCTTCTAATTAACAATACTTCAGAAACCCTGTTTACTAAATAAATAAAATTCCACTGAATCTCCTCATTTGGTTTATTACTACTTTGTTAAATGAGGAAAAATAAAGACAACAGGTGCCAAACAAGAGGCAACTAGAATTTATAAACTGCAAATAAATTTTTTGCAAATCAGATTCTCAGTCTCCCCTTTTAGTATTTTGTGTTGGGAAAGGCATTTGGGATTAAATATATGTCAACTGCCTCAAGAAAATGACTAAACAAGAATATTCTTATTACACAGGAATTGTGTTGTACATTGCTTCTGATTCCTTTATAAATAGAGAGGAAAAAGAAAAAAGAAATTCAACACTAAATGGAATTTCCTTTCACATGTAACATGCTGCCCTTAGATGTAACATTATAACTGCTCTAAAAAAGGTTAAACAATTTGGATATCGAGTTTCTGGTTCACTACACTGTTATAAAAGGGGATCTCATCTTCTAAATATTCAGTTCATACTGGAATATGAACATGAGCTCCAGTCATGTTGTAGCTTTTTAAAAAAATTACAATTTGTTTGGTGACCTGTGCTGATCAGCTATTTAAGAAGCTATTAATCCTGTATTATTTTCTGGGATTTTAAAGCCCCTATTTGCCGTACACTTTTGGAAAGCGATAGCGTAGCATTAGTATGGCAGACACTTAATGCAAGAGAGTTTCCAGCCTATTTTAATATTGGACTATGGCCATATTCTGCCTTCCATTATAGCCACATAAAGTAGTTAGATGTCAGAGGTTCATGTTTGTAACTAAGGGCAAAATAAAATTCGGTTTGTTTTAATCAAAAGCTACTTAAAAACCCCCCTAAAACAATACATTTTGCTGTTAAACCAACAGCAAAGAAATTTAGATGCATTTAGCTGTTAATACTGATCTTTCTGCACGACATTTCCAGCACCACTTTGTAAAGAAGTGTCTCTCTCTACAAATAGACTTTGTAGAGAAAAATGTTTAGCCACTAGGTTGAAGTACTCAGTGCCTTTTTAACTTCAGTCTTCCCTGGCAAGGTCAGCTCCCAGACTACTGCACCTGGAAGCATAGTTTGGGGAGGAGGTGAGCACCTAACAACGGCCAAGGAACAGGTTAGGGACTAATTAGAAAAAGTTGGACGAGTATAAGTCATGGGGCCAAACATGATGCACCCAAGGGAGCCGAGGGAGTTGGCCGATGCAACTGCAGAACTCGTCATCATCTTTGAAAACTCATGGCGATTAGGAGGGTCCCAGACAACTGGAAAAGGAAGGAGGAGGAACTGGACAACTACAAAATGATCAGCCACACCTGAGTTCAGCAAGACCTTTGATGCAAATCTTCCACGACATTCTTGTAAGCAAGCTAAGTATGGGTTGGATAAATGGACTGTAAGGTGGATAGAAAACTGGCTATAGATCATCGGACTCAAAATTAGTAATCTATGGTTCGTTGTCTAATTGGTAGCCAGTATCAGGTGGAGTGCCCCAGGGTTTGGTCTTGAGGCCAGTTTTGTTCAATATCTTCCTCAGCAATCTGGAAGGTAGGATGGAGTGCACCCTTAGCAAGTTTCCAGATGACACCAAGCTGGCAGGGTGAGAGGGAGGGAGGGAGAGAGAATAGGCAGGGAAGTAGTAGACCCGATGATCTACCAGGTCCCTTCCAACTCTAGAAAACTATATGCTTGAGGGCAGGGCTGGGATTCAAAGACCTGGGCAATTAGGAGGATTGGATTAAAAGAATTCTCATGAAGTTCAATAAGGACAAGTGCAAAGACCTTCACTTAGGATACAACAAATCTTAGGCAATGGTGCAGGCTGGGGACCAAATGGCTGAGCAGCAGCTCTTCAGAAAAGGACCTGGGGGTTACAGTGGACAATATCTGAATATAAGCCAATGTGCCCTTGTTGCAAAGAAGGTTAAAAGCATACTGGGCTGCATTAGTAACCCAGCAGATCGAGGAAAGTGATTCTTCCCGTCTATTTGGCTATGGTGAGGCCACATCTGGAGTACCGTGTCCAGTTTTGGGCCCCCCACTACAGAAAGGATGTAGACAAACTGGAGTGTCCTGCAGAGGACAACAAAAATGTTTAGGGGGCCAGGGGTTATGTTTTGAGAGAAGAGGCTGAGGGAACTGGTCTTATTTAGTTTGGAGAAGAGAAGACTGAGACAGGATTTAATAGCTGCCTTCAACTACCTGAAGGGGTCTCCAAAGAGGATAAAGCTAGAATGTTTTTAGTGGTGGCAGATGACAGAACAAGGAGCAATGGTTTCAAGTTGTAGCAAGGGAAGTTTAGGTTAGGTATTAGGAAAAAAACTCTCACTAGTAGGGTAAAAAAAACAAGAACAGGTTATCCAGAGGTTGTGGAATCTCCATCCTTGTAGGTTTTTAAGACCCAGGTAGACAACGCCTTGGCTAAGATGATATAGTTGGGGATGGTCCTGCTTTGAGTGGGAGGTTGGACTAGATGACCTCCTGAGGTCCCTTCCAACTCTAATTCCCTATGATTCTAGGTCTCAAAAGATTCAAACTGTACACTGAACCAAACTGAGCATTTGCGCTGATCAATTTTTGATAAAGTTAAATAGTATACTGTACTCAATGTTAAACATTTCTAGCATACTAATCTCAGAAACATGTCAGTGAATATAGTGGACCATACAATTGTAAGTGACAAACCTTATGGATGTGTACAAGATTCTTTAAGAATTAAAATTACCTTAGTTTTACTTTCTTCTGCAAAGCCAGGTGTGTCGGTGTCAGGAGGATAGGCAACTGTTATGTAGATGTTATAAGGCTTTACCTGTATTTTGTTCAAAAAACCAAAAACAAATACTTTTAAACAAAAGACATTTTAAAGTAGTCACATATTTATAAGAGTTTCTGTTGTACAGATAAGATATTAACCCCCCACCATTACAAATCTGCAAATACCCGAGTAATCTTACAGACAGTGTTTTCAGGAATAAAGCTAAATTTTCATGAGGAAGCATAATAAATATAACTGGTCTTTAAAGTCTTTCATTCCAAAATACAATAGTTAAAATTCTTGCTAAATGCAAAGTAGGGAGCATCAAAGTGCAGGAACAACATAACTCCCCCTTCCCTGGCCCCGATTCCTAATTCTTAAATTATTTCAAGATAAAAACGATATGAGCAATTCGCAACATAGCTGAACCCCTCTGTCCTACTACGATTTCAAAATCTATGGCAAGCACAAATTTAAATTATTAAAGGTAAGAATAAACATTTACTGATGGCAAAGATGTTAAAAGGTAGAGGTCGGAGAAAGTACAAACGAATTCAAGGCTGAGGTTTGTTAGTAAAAGGGACTGCTGAATGCCATCTGAAGGGTTAAAAAAACAACAACCCAAAACCAAACAACTGATAGAAATCACAAGAAAATGAAAACTGGGAAAACATTATGCCCAAAACAAAAAATGTGGAAGGGAGAAAGAAAGAAGAAAGAATCCCGAGCAAGGATTTGCTTTTTAGATGTTTGTACAGTACACACAGTAAGGTACCAATTTATGATAAACTACCTCAATACAAATAAGCTCAAGGATTCAAAACTTACATCCAAAAAGTATGAGAACTCAGAAGCAACATTAGAGTACAAAAAATACACCTTTCATAAATTTTATTCCTCTTATGTATTGTGTATTAATCCACTTGATGAACCATCTAACTTTCAGATGCTCAAGGAGTAGAGAATTAGACGTGAGCAAAAATCATTGGCCACCTAAGAAATCAAATGACTAACCTTACGTTCAAGAAGTCTGAACCAACAGCCTTCAGGTGCCATTAGACAGACAGATGGAGTGGAGAGAGGCATCCCTCTCACATACCCCAGTCACTAGGGGTGCCTGTACACGAGCCAGGAGGCTGCTTCGATACACAGTAATTTTACAGCACAATGGAGCAATCTCAATTAATCGAGTCTGCTGGAGCGTGGTAATTACCATGATCAAACAGCCTGTCACGTATCAGCATCCCCACTTCAAGGTGGTGGTGGGGGCACTTTAACTAAAGGTCATTTGACAAGCTTTAGCTAGTGTCCCTGCTGCCATTTTGAAGCATGGGGATGCTGATACATGAGATGCTCCTGTTGCTTTCATTATAGTGGCTCTTAGAGCCGCTCTAATTGAAGTGCCTCCCCCGGAACATGTGCAAAAACGCCCTACCTACATAAAGAGTATACCCCATCTCTACAGCACTCCTAACCATGGGAACAAAGGTCTAACATTGGTTCTCAACCTCGTTAAGACTCGAGACACTGCTCAGAAAATGAAAGCTCTTAATTTTCATTTGTTTTTGACTACAGAAAAAATAATAGAGCAATTCTTCTGTTGCAAAGAACTCAAAGTCCACAACAGGGCAGATCATTTGTAACACTATGAATTCCAGTTTGAAACCTCTGGGACTATCGTATAAATCATGTTTGCACACCTAACAGTAATAACATTTCATGGCACCCTGCAGCACCCTTGAAAAGATCTCATGGCAGCCAGGGTGCTGCTGCACCTTGCTTGAGAATCGCTGATCTATAAATCAAAGGAAAATACATTATATTTTAAATGTAATTAGATGAAATTGTTAAACTTGTAAATGCATTTTACTTGGGTGCCTATTAGGATATACTTATCATGACTGCTTTTCCCTCTTTTCTCAAATCCTTTTAACTCTTTACCACTGGGCCTGACCCAAACTTAATTTATAAATTAAAGCAAGAGACGCATTATGGTTTACTACAAGTTGACACCTTTCACAGACTTGAGAGAATACCACTCTAAAACACAAACAGCACTAGAAACAACTATATTAGAAAGGTCTCTCTTAATTCAACAGATTCTTCTTGTTCATAATCACAGCCACTTTCAAAAAAAAAATTAAATAAAGTTTTCACCGTTTGACTTCAGGCTGTGTGGGCTTCTTGAGTCTAAGAATGAACCAATTCTATTCCTTCCCATTCATCAGAATTCTTTATTGAAATTTCATTCAGTTAAATTTAGGCAACCTATAAAAGAGCAATTAGATCCCACTAAAGATCTAATAGAACACTATTGTTTGTTATCAGCAATGATGCATAAAACAGAAAGAAGATAACTTGACTGATAATTTGCAGGAGTACCAACTAGAAGGGTTTTTTTTTTTTTTACTTCTAAGATAAACACTTCATCCAAAAGTTACTGACAAACATGGACCTCTGAAGTATACTTAGGATTTGTCAGAAGAGTTGTGAAATGAAAATGACATGTCATTTTTAAATACTATCACTTTGTTCTTGATTGGTAGGGCTATGCGAAGCTTTGGTAGCCTATTTGATTTGGAGGAGATTCTCTGAATCCGAAGACCCATTAAAAGGTCTGAATTGAATCGGAAGCCTCTGAATTTATTTGGAGATTTGGGCGGTCCCCACTTGCTGCTGCAGGGAGCTGGACTCGGGCTCCGTGCCGGTAAGTAAGGGAGGGACCCCCCGTCCCCCCACAAAAAACCCCAAAACAAAAAACAAGCCCTGTACTCACTGGCTGCAGCAGCAGCGATCAGGGCCTCTGAGGGTTTGTGGCAGAGCCCCCCTGTGCAGCACAGGGCAGTAGGGGGCAGCCTGCCTGGCACCCATGCGGCAGCTGTTGCATCGTGCAGGTGCAGCGCGGCTCCATGAACTGTCCGGGAGCTGGGACCACTCAGGCTGAGTGCTGCTGGGCTCTGGGCGACTGCTGGAGCCACTCCAGCTCCAGGACAGTGCGTGGCACCTGCGCGATGTGACAGTTGCTGCACCAGTGCCAGGCAGGGGAGGCAATCCCTGCTATCCTGTGTTGTGCAGGGGGGCTCTGCCACAAGCCCCCAGAGGCCCAATTGCTGCTGCAGCTGATGAGTGCAGGGTTTTTTTTCTTTTTCTTTTTTTTTAATAAATGTTCCGGCATGCTGGGGCTGGGCAGAGCAGCCTTGGGGGAGCAGGCATAGGATGGGGCTCTGCTTGCCGCTGCCGTGCCCCCGCCACCACATGTTTGATTCAGAGGAGATTCGACAGTCAAATCTCTGAATCGAATCAGGACAGTGATTCGAATCACTGTCCCTCCAAATCGGCTGAATCTGAAGCTGAATCGAATACTGCTGTTATGCACAGCCCTATTAATTGGTTCTATTATATAGAAGCATTTTTGTAATATAGTACGTGATAGCATACACAAGCATGCAAGGGATACAATGTTTTTCCTTAAGCCACCATATATGAGAAATAGAGTCATACCTCCATTTGCAGGGCTTCAGCCAATCCTCGAAGAGCGAACTTTGTTGGAGAATAAGCTGTGTAACCAAACAGCCCCAGCTGTCCAGCTTGAGATGATACAAACACAATCCTTCCCATCCTTCTTTCCTTCATGGTAGGAATTACTGCATGGCTTGGGTAAACGCTACCCAGGTAGTTGACGGCCATTAAGTTCTGCACAAATTATATACTATTTGTCAAACAGACATTTCTCAAAATCCATATTTAAATCTGTCAAATCATAACTCTTAAAAGACTTGTGATTAATTCTTTCAGTTGCTCTAGGGAAGATAAAACTGTATTCTATTCTAAACCTTAGGACAGTTTGTGGTCAAGATGCCTACCTCAAGCATGAATATTTCAATATAAATTATCTAATGCCACTTAACATACTAAATGCCTTGAAATAAAATGCTCTCTTTCAGAAAGAAAAAGAAAGTTTACTGTCTTTCAATTACTGAACTCTGACCTTAATATAGAAAAACCCTTTCTGCAACTGTGTAGAGCAGGGCAACGTTTTCTGGCGAGCAGTCAGAATAACCCAGCTCAGGTTGAAGGAGAGCAGGCATTAGGAGCTGGCTGCCATTCCTGCCGCTTTGCAGCAAAACCCCCTCTCTAGTGGAACAAATGTCACCTGACTGTGGCCACAGTACCAGCAGAGACCCCTGCTGCCAAATCTATGGCTCCACCAGCTGGATCTGGCCTGTTTGTCATAGGCTGCCAACCCCTGGTGTACAGAACTATTAAGCATTCGGTTATATGCAAACATACAGTGAGGAATTAAAAGTAAAGTCACACACAGTTTTACATGTTTCAAAACAAGAGTCAGAAGTCTGATGATTTACATTTTGGATATCATCCAGTTACTGGCAGGGTAGGGCAAAGTTTTTTGTCCGTCTCCCCTCTATAGAAGAAAAAAAAAATGTGACCTTTCATAATCTATAATTCAATTACAATTTTGTGTTATAGGTAGCGGCTTACTTAATTCACAGTTTAACAGATTTCACAGAATCAACAACAACAAAAATGCTGGTTCCCCAGAGTCTTCGCTGCCACAAGGGAAAGGCACCAGCTGGCGGGGTGGCACAAAGGACAGCAGACAATGGCAGCTACCCCCTCATCCCTCCTCCCCCTGCCAGGGCATCTCCGCCAATCAGCACCGAGGGGTGCGGCCACCAGGAAATGTCCTTGAAATCGGATGTGTGCGCCGTGAGTTATTAAAAACCCTCTCTCACCTTGATTTAAGTAGGTTCCTAGTTATGAGACTAGTGTACTGAACAAGTACAGATTATAAGGACAAACAGAGCAGGAACAGGCTAACTTAATTTTAAATTATTGCTTTGGGGGACAAAAATGCAACAAACCAGCAGCTAGGAGTAATTAACATCTGCTCCAGCTACTATAGCAAAAGTAGCGCAAAAAACTGTGGCATGCTAATAGCTCTACACTTCAGAGCAGCATGAAAATAGTTGTAGTAATTAGCTCTACTAAGAGTAGAACAAAATTAGCCCAGGCACAGCTACACCACTTCCAGGCTGAGAATTAGCCTATAGCTACATTTTAGACAGCCTTTTTACTAGATGCTGCAGGACATTACCTAGTCTGAAAGTCAGGGAGTCACTGGGAACATTGACCCAAAAACAGAGGTTATCTTAGAAAATCTGGCATGATTATTTGTGTTATATTTATTTGTTTGGTAGTGAATACACTGGTCAACTAGCTACTTTCATGAGTTGTACACCCCACAACAGTAAGACATCATAAAGCTGCAGTACACAGAACACTAGGTGGGAAGTCCCATCCCCACCCCACCAGGAAAACTCTTCATCCATTCAGCATAGCAGGAACACAGCAGGTGTCAGTGTCTGAAGCCTTCAACACAAGTTGCAGGAATTGACCGTAAGTACTTGTAAAGTTCAATAATACAGTTTAACTCCCTGAAAAGGGAAAACAAACAAAAACAAAACAACCTCCCC